TTCCGGGGATCTTAATATTTTTTTGAACGCTTTTTTTGGGGGGCCTCCCCGGGGGTTTTGGGGGTTGGAAAATCCCCCTTTTTTTTTTTTCCCAAAACCGGTTAGGGAAAAAAGGCCCCCTAAAGGCCCCTCCCGGATTTTTTTTTTCTTTTGGTTTGGGAAACTCAAAAAAAATTTTTTTTTTTTTTGGGGGGGGGGGTGAACCCCCCCCCCCCCCCCCCCCCCTATCGCTCCGGTGGCCCCTGAACGCGAAACAAAACAAACCATCTAGGCGGAGATGCGAACGACCCCAAGTTCCGGCGCCTGTTGGAGATGGGCTTCGAACCGGCGAGAGTGCGCGCAGCCTTGGCAGACGCTAACGGCGACGAAAGCGCGGCAGTCAGCAAGCTTCTCCAAGGCTGAACTTTTCAGCCACGTCTATGTAGAGAACTCCTCGCCGTATGCATATAGAAGATGCGCGTTAAAGCATGTGGGCGTACGTGGATATGTAGCACCGGATCGATGCTCTTGGGAAGACTTGAAGCTGCTCCAAGGTTGATAAACCCCTCGCCGTGTGCCTATGCGTAAGCACGAACTACTGCCGTCGACGTGGGTGTAGCACCATGTTGTCGGGCAGTGCTCTTTGGGAGGAAGGCTTAATTAACAACGCCGTTCATTGCTAAAGTTGAAGCAATGGCAAAGGGCACGGAGTAGGTCCTCCAGCCAAGAGCTTTGTTGAGTTCGTCTGTGTGCTTTCGGGGGGGGGGGGGGGGGGGCCCCCCCCCTTTTTTTTTTTTTTGCCCCCCAAAAAAAGGCTTGCCCCCAAAAAAAAGGGGTTCCGGGGGGGGGGGCTGAAGTCTTTGGGGGAGGACAAAAAACCCCCCAGGGGGGGGCCGGGGGTGGGGGGGGGTTTTTTTTTGGAAACCCCGGGGGGTTTTTTGGGGGGCGGGGGGAACCAAGCCCGGGGGTTTTGGAAAACCTTGGGGGAAATCCCAAAGGGAAAAAACCCAACTAGGGGGGGGGGGGGGGGAAAACCCCCCCCCCCCGAAATTGGGGCGGGGCCTTTCCCAAAACCCCAGAAAAACCGGGGGGCCCCCCCCCCCCAAAAAAAATCTTTTTTCTCCAATAAAAAAAAAAAGAAAAGGGGGCCGGGCCCTTCGAAAAATTTCCTCCGCCCAAACAAGAAGGGAAACCGGGGAAAGGGGGGCCCACCAAACCCGTTTTTTTTTTCTTTTAGCCTTTAACCCCCGGGAATGGGTCCCCCCCCCCAAAAA